ACTGAAGGTGAAGGTTATGAGGGACAGTGTCAAACTGACAGGCTGGCAGAGTCGCAGTAACAGGTCGGAGCTAGCCATGCCAGAGGTGGTGGGGGGCGGGCATTGCAGGCCCGGAAATCTGGCTATTCAGAGATAGTATGGTTTTGTAGGTTGGCTTAAGGTAGGAAGGAGAATGCAGGTCTAGAGCCCAAGACCTTGGTAAGAGGAGTGGTGAGCTCTGATCCTAGGCTGCGAGCTGTTTTCTCTGCCCTGTTCTGCTGCCCAGTGAGAACCTGTGGAGTAGTCAGGGTTGTTCCTTTGAGTGAAGATATTTTCTGTTTTGAAAACATTAAATGAGGGAGATAATGTACTCTGCCTCTTCTAATCCAGGCTAATAAGACCCTGACCACAGTCCATTGCCACCTGCTTTCCAAATTTACAGCAGTCATATAACTAAACCCAGCACCAGAACTGAGGGATGGAGTTGTCCTTTGGTGCGTCACCTGGCATAGCAGTACCTGACTTTATGGTGGACCCTGTACTCCCCTTATCAGCCAGGTGGGCTGACTTACTATCTCCCAAAAACAATTTTCAACTTGGGGATTTGTTCCTGCTTTTGCAAAAAAAAACAAAGTCAAAGAAGCAGAACTCACATCATTTCCAAGGTTTCCTCGCTGTTGCTCCTGGTTTCTGCTGCTTCTGCCTGGCCTTGACTCTAGTACCAGTGTATTCCTTGGTTTCTGGATGCTTATTTGGTTGTAGTCTACTGTTCTACCACGAAAAGTTCTACCATTTCTAGTCTTTAACAATTGACTAGGATTTTGATTCTCACATTTCTGCTGCATGTCTCTGACCATTGGTTATATTTTGACTATAAAATTAGTACTTCTTGGGCCTGGCCAACTGCTAAACCTCTTCTAACTAACCTCACCTTAGTTTTCTCTTACCTAACTAACTTCCTACCCTGTTTCTGCCTTGCTTTGGCCCATAGGTCATCAAAGCTTACTTTGGTCACCAAAGCTAATCATACTCTTATAGCCCTTTTAGCCTGATCTGGGCTGGTTCTTTTAAGAACAGCCTGATCTCCACAAGCTCTGAGTTAGAAGCTTTTTAAGTATGTGATGGCCCTTGGATGAAAAGCTATCTACAAGGTATTTGGTGCCACTCTTGACCACTGAAGGGCTGAGGTTCCTTTAGTCATAGCTATATTCCCACAGTGGGGCTGCTGCCTTTTGAGTTTTATTAAAAATGAAGGAAATCTTCTCGGAGGTTATGGAATGAGTCACTAGCATGGATGCTTACCCTCTTTGGCCTCCAAGTTTGTGAAGTGAATTGCCCATTCCTTTTGATTGGGTTAGCAGCCCCAGAGCTGAGCCTAGTCACTTTCCTCTCCCCATCCTGCCAGACCACTGTCTGCCCTCTGGGACCAAGGGCAGCATACTTGGTTGCTTGGACACGTCTTGCAGCCTGCAAATTGGACAGATGGAATCAATACTCATGAACCTGGAGAGGCCCAGGTAGCACAGTTAGTGACACTAGCTGCCTGGAGGGACAGCCTGCCATGGGAGGGGGTGTGATTGAATGGTGATTGGACGCAGCAGCTGAGGATTAACCAAATTATGTCCCTTTGAGTTTAGATCCAGAAGCCCTTCTTCCTTGGATTTTAAAACAAACCAACCTGTGCAGAATATAGAACTGCCTTCTCAACAGAGAGCTGTGTCAGCGTGAGTCCTGAGGGTGGTCAAGGATAGATAGATCTGATGCCCACTTCAGCCAGGCTTATCTTATTATCACTAAGATTACATGGGCAAAGGGAAAAAAGCTCATATTTGTGGAGTTCCTTCTATGTGTCAGGCACTATGGAATTTTACGTACTTATAATCTCCAAGGGAGGCATAATTATCTCCATTATTAAGGTAAGGAAACAGTCTCAAAGGAATAGTAACTTGTCCAAGATCAAGACAGTAAATGACAGAGCTTTGATTTGAACCCAAGTCTCTGCTTATTATAAAATGTCATGCTGTCTCCCCAGTTTAAGTGTCTTAGTTCATACTTCCCTTGATATTCCCCACAACCCAACCAGAGGGTCATAATAGTTATAACTGACAAGTTAGGCACTGAATGTGTCAGGCACTATTTAAGCACTTCACATACATTAACACAGCCATATAACTAGATACTCTTATTATCCCTGATGATTATTACAAGATTGCAAAATGATGATTTTCCAATTTCATCATTTGTTCTACCTTTATTATTTGTCATTCGACAGTAAGGAAGAATTTCCCATTCTCCCCCTCTGACTTAATCTGTTTTTCACATGGACTCATCATTATTGTCATTAATCTCAATACTCAGATTGTCCTAGGTTTTAAAGGCAGTGTTCTTAACCTCCTTACCATACTACCTCTCTATCAGATATTGTTTCTTACTGCTTCGAGCTAGTTTCCTTAACTATAACAGCCTTTTTGTATTCTCCTGGGTTTTTTTTTTTTTTTAAGGGTTAATGCTTTAAGACTGACCTTTTTTTTTTTTTTAAATTTTTATTTATTTATTTATTTATACAAGCACTGAGTACAGTCAGAAGCGCGGGAGGGTGAGAGAATTCACCAGAGCCAGAGCGGGAAGCAGAACAGGCAGAAGGACCAAAATACACTGCTGAGGGGAGCAGCGGGCGGCAGGAGAGTTCTGCGCGCCATGTGGGACCCTCGCCTGGCAACCAGGGATCAAACCAGTGCTGCAGAGGCTGAGGGCAGCTTCACAGCCCAGCACTCAACCCCTGCACCCCCAGGAGAGGCCCCTACTCCTGGGTTTTAATCTTCTGGAAAATGGAAAGACTAATGCCAATCGTGTCCAAATTATATGTAATCTAAGAGTACATGATCTCCAAGTGAGAACCTGGCAGACTCTGCTGTGAATTAAATATATGTTTTAGACTCAGATTTTAGCAGCTTGGGGATTATTCTCTTTTTGGGATCTTGCATAAATTACCTGTGAAAGGTAATATTTAAGGTCCTTTTGGTTAGGTGAGTAAACACAGGAGACTTATCTGGCCATGTTAGATCAGATGTGGAAGAACATCAGCTACATGGGAGATGAATTCTGGTTCTTTGACTTAACTATGAGGTGTTCATGCGCATGTGTGAGTGTACGTACATGAACTCAGAATTTACTGAAATTCATTCATCCCTTCAGCAAATAATTGAGCTAGGTCCTGTACATGTTAAACGTAGTGAAATCAAAATCAGGTAGTATTGAAAAGACCATCAACACTGCTGGTTACATATATTACAATGCTAACAAGGAAGAGAAAAACTATAATTTGGCATTTTAGTAGTCATGATAGAGTAATTTTTGAAATGCTTGCCATTTATGCCTTCAAAAGTAAAGTGAGATTTTGAAGGTCAGTAAGCAAAAGATTAACATACTAAGAAACACCTGGGAAAAGAACAAGGATTTGTAAAAAAAAGAAACACAAATGACCATTAAACGTATCTTTTTTAAAAATTCCAAACTCACTAGTAATCAAAGAAATGCAAATTGAAATAGAATGTAATTCTCTTTTCTCTTCACCAGATTAACACGTAATTAAAAAGGGGGGGGGACCTATTTTGAGGAAAGGAAGGCAGAACAGTTATTCTCCTTCATGTTGTGTTAGTAAAAATAAGAATTGGCAGTTTTTCTGAAAGGCAATTTAATAATATTTATCCAAACCCCTAAAAATACTTATACTCTTGATCTAGAACTAACCCAAAGGCAATAATCAGAGGTATTGTGTTATTGAAGTATTTAAAGTAATCTGATTGTTTTATAATCAGGGTTTGGCTAAATATAAGAATATTTTTATAGTGAAATACTAACGGTCATTAAAAACAATGCGGTAGACAAATATTTAATATATGGAAGCATGTGTATGTTTTTAGAGAAAGCGTAGGACCTCATATATGAGTAAATAGGAATATGTATGCATTGAAAATACTGGAAAGATAGTCTGTATTACATATATATTGATTATATTTTCTAAATTTGTAATAGTGAACACAGACCCTTTTTGTTAGGAAAAAAACACTAGTAAGAACACTGCATGATAGCAGAAAGAAAGAAAGCTGACAGAGAGTACTTCCTGCGTCACGCTTTATAAGTATACCTAACCTAACCGTGTGGAGGCCCCACCTCAGTCCTCCTCCCTCCAGTTTATTCTCACATGCCCCTGGGATGATGCCTCTAATAGCAGAGGTTTGGAGGGAACTACACCAAATTACAAGTCATGATTATTCTTGAAATGTAGATTAAAGGGATGGATAGAAGGGGAGATTTTCATTTAATATTTCAGTATGGTTTGAATTTTTCAAGTATATGTCTTTTGAAGTGGGACGGAAAAGCATATGCCGTCATCCTGTTTCCCCTCTAAGGCCTTCGGTGGTTTCCCACCTACCCCTGTCCTTCCTGACACTATCCACTCCGTCTCTACTCTCTTTGGGGAAGCACTCTGCTCACCACCAGCATTTGTAAGTGCACTGGTTCCTTCTGCTTGACCAGCCCAGCTCGGGCCTCTTCGCCTTCAAGTCTTAAATACCACGTCCTCTGGGAAGCTTTTCTTGGTCCCTCCTTGGCTTCTCCTGCCCATGACACTTCTTCCACCATAGCCTTTATCACACTTCACCCTAACTTTATGCTAAATTGTTGCCCTTCTCAGACTTGCAGTGGCACAAGGACACAGGCCCCAGCACCTAGGACAGTGACTAGAGGAATGTGATGAGTATTTGAAAGGTAATTGTTGAATAATCACTCTTTGTTTTTATAGTTGTGGAAACCAAGCCTTTCAGAGGTGTTAAATAAACTTGGCCAGACCCCCTTAGCTAGTCAGGTCAGAGCCAGATAGCCTGCCCTTATCTTTTGCACCCCCAGAGTTCACATTCTTTCTACTCACAAGAGCAGAGGCAGAGCCATTTCCCAAACGTGCCTCAGAATCTCTACTTCTGGCCTTTCCTGCCTTGACTCTGTCTCTCTGATTTCTTCAGTGTGGTGCAGGTTCTGCTTGCCGCTGGTGCTGACCCAAACCTTGGGGATGATTTCAGCAGTGTTTATAAGACTGCCAAGGAGCAGGGAATTCACTCTTTGGAAGGTAAGTGGACTCCCTGCTGTTATAAGACCTCCTCCCTGTGGCCTTCTGGCGGCCTTGCTCTGGGCCAACTCTACCAGCAACTCAGGGTGAGAACCCGCATGTCTGGGAACTTGTGGATAAGCTAACAGGCTTGGAACACAGTCCCTCTGGCTCTGTAATTTCTGTCCTTTCAGAATTCTTGGGGGGAATAAAATAGAGGCCTGACATGACGTGGGGAACTTTGAACTGGCATTCTCCCAAAAGTGCTTTGGTCTGTGGAGCTAAGTGGACAGTGGAGGTTTCCTTAAAATAAATAAGGCAACTGCATGGAATGTGGATTTGTTCTTCCTTCTATTTCCTGCAGACTTACCCTACCCCAGAACTAAAAAGCAACCTCAGTGGTTTCCTCAGCCTTAGATGTCTCTCAGCAATACTCTGACCAGCCCAGCTCTGGCCTCTTAGCCTTTTTCTCTCGTCTTATATGTAAAATACAGTCCTACCTCCGCGACTGGCCCCTCAACTTACTGTACTACACAGGACAGTCTGTGGACCTTCTTTGTGCCTTGATGTCTATGCTTATAAAATGGAGTGGTCATCAGTGCCCCCTGGCTGTTGTGTGGTGGTGGTTTGGACGTCTTCAGAAGGAAGAGAAACCGTGCACTCTAACAAGGCTCCCCCATGTATGTTGAAGGGAGCCTGGGCAAATCAGTCCATGTTGCCTCTGGTGGTGGCTCATCTAAAGTGGGGTCAAGAAGAAGTCAGGTTGCTTTGGCTGCAGTCAGAAATGAGGATTTTACATTGGAGCTTTTGCTTGTCTAGACCGGATCTACTTCTTGCCTATTCTTCTGGATCACTTGCAGAGGTAGAGATTCCCCTAGTTTCCAGCATCACGGTGGCTGAGCACTGGCTGCTTAGGGTTGGCAGTGCAAGAGGGTAGACATCTTTGCCGACTCCCTGAGAGTCAGAACATTGACTAAGGAAGGTTGAGCCAAGAGGAACAGTACGATCAGCCCTAGAGCCATCAGCGAGGCTGCCAGACTGAGAGGCGTGTGGCACCTGGAGTGGCGGTGTCACTGCTACCCCAGCAAGGTCTCTCAGACTAGCAGTGGGAGGGTCAAGTCAGAAGTATCAGAGCACTATTGCCCAGTGTGACGTACACCCTCCCCCTGCCTCCATGTCTCTCAACCTGCTCCTTCTGTCAAGCTCTGTTGCTGGGACTAGATCCTCCACAAAGCCTTCCCTGTCCTTGGCAACAATTACAGCCTGCCCTCAGCTGCTCTTTTGAATGTTCTCTAAATGCTGGCCTTTTCTCTCTGTTTGAACTCTCATCTACCCATGTGTCTCTTTTCTTCTCCTCAGCTGACATGCAGGCCATGACCTGTGAATTCCCCATTGAACTGGAGGAATTATGTTCACTTTATGTTTCAAACAAGGGAATTTTATAAGAACCAAACTTGCCCTGTATTTGCAGCCTGATATGTGAGGACTCAACTTATAGGCGCTCCTCACTCAAAGACAGCTCTGTATTCTGTTAGGGAATTCTCACCAAAAAGCAAGCAGGAGCCTTGGCTGAGAAAGCAGGGCTAGGCAGAAGGGAAGGACTATTTGAGTATCTTCTTTTTTGCCCTGAGATCCCAGCAGGACTCAGTAAGTATTTTTGATTTCATAGAATCACAGCTATGAAGCTCTCTTGTCATACCAGTCCCCACTCCCCGCATTCAAAGTTTGTATTTTTGTGTTCTAAAGTTTCTCTCCAAGCTGAAGACATATTCAACATTCCAGATCAGTTGTCAACAAACTGTTTTCTGCAGATCCATATAGTAAACATTTTAAGCTTTGTGGGTCAGTCTCTCAGCTATGACTATTGAGACAAGCATACCTCACTTTATTACACTTAGCTTTATTGGGTTTCACACATATAGTGCTAATGTAGTTTTTGAAGTTTATGGGTTTAGAGAGTGGGATCCTTGGGCTCACTCTGGGAAACTCTGGTTTCACCAGAGCTCCCCTTTCAGCGGCACACGACGAGTTTCCCAGACAAGCTTTTCCATGAGACAGAGACGTTAGTTATATTTAAAGATTAGGTTTATTAGGGAAAGGCGACAGAAGAATAAAGGACACTTGGATAGACACAAGCGGGCAGGAAGAGCTACCCCGAAAGAGACAGGTTTGCATGGTCACAGGCGGGCAGCCTTGAGGAGAGCTGCCTCTGCTGAGGGAGGTCAGTGAAGAGAAGCCTGGTGTGGTACAGGTCATGGGCAGGCAGGACGGCTGCTGCCCTGCAGAGGGAGAGAGTTGGCAAAAAGAAGCTCTTCATAGTCACAGATGGGCAGACAGAGTGCTGCCCCAGCCAGTGCAGAGACTGCCCTAATACAGTCTTCTTCTCTTTGGGAGGGGGTTACTCCTTTGTGGAGTGGCTTGTTTGCTGCTGATTTTGGATAACTATGCAGAATCCAAAAGGGACCAGAGATTCCACAGTGGGCCCAGTCTCCATATCTTTACCCTCAGGTCTGTGCTCCCGACATTCCCTACAGCAGTCTGATACCTGCTTGGGTCTTATGCCTTGTGATAAGGCACTGGTGCCTAAGGATTTTGATTCCACAGCTGGCTTAATGGTCATGTTATTTCTCTCTACCCCCAACACCTTGTGTGAGTCAGATTCTTGTCTTATGATGCCTCCTTTTGGTTTTCTGTTCTTTCCTCCATTGCTGCCATTTTTATGAATTGAAGGTTTGTGGCCACCCTGCATTGAACAAGTCAGTCAGCACATTTATCCAATAGCGCATGCTTATGTCTTGTTTGTGTGTCACATTTTGGTAATTCTTGCAATACTTCAGACTTTTTCATTATTATTATTATATCTGTTGTGGTGATCTGTGCTCAGTGATCTTCGATATTACTATTGCAACTCCACCAGCAAAAAGAATGCAACTTGCTAAAGGCTCGGATGATGGTTAGCATTTTTTTTTTTTAATGTATTCACCTATGCATACAAGAGCTGGGGCACAAGCCAGAGACACAGGGAATGAGAAGATTCACCAGAGACAGAGTAGGGAAGAGAACATGCAGATCCACTGAAACACTGCTGAGGGGAGCAGCGGGCGAGCCAGGAGAGGTCTGCTGCGCCATGTGGGTTTCTTCCTGGGCGGCCGAGGATCAAACTTGTGCTGCAGAGGCTGCGGACTGCCCCATAGTGCAGTGCTTAACCCCTTGCGCCACCAGGGATGCCAATGGTTAGCATTTTTTAGCACTAGTTTTTAATTAAGGTATGTACCTTTTTTTTAAGACCTAATATTACTGCACACTTTATAGACTATGGTATAGTAAACATAGCTTGTGTATGCATTGGAAAACAAAAACTTCCTTGTGATTCACTTAATTGCACTATTCACTTTATTGTTGTGTTCTGGAACCAAATCCACCATATCTGTGAGGTGCACCTGTACTCTGCTGGGCCATTGTAGCATAGAAGCAATTATAGACACTGTATATGTTAATGAACAAGGATATGTGCCTGTAAATATGGGCAGTAGGCTGAGTTTGGCCCCTGGAGTATAGTTTGCCAGTCCTCTTCTTTTCTTCCTTCTTTCCTTCCCTCTCTCTTTCTGTCTCACTATCTCCTTCCTCAATTCCCTTTCTCCTTTCTTTTCTTTCCTTTTTTTATTTTGTCAACTTTTGAATTTTTTTAACTCTATGTTAGCCAGCTTATATTCTTTCTAGGTAGGTAGGTAGATAAGCAGGTAGATGCAGACAGCAAATATATTGAGAAAAGCTAGTATAAAACTGAGACAGACTGTCCCACAGAGCTTAAATTGTTTACTATCTGAAATAGTTCCTCATGAAATAAAAGATAAAAGTATTAAGTATCCTTTCTTATTTTTTCTTTCCTACAAATGTGAGAAGGCTTCCTATGGATTAATTTATTCATCAATTTTATTGATCACGTCTCTGTCTAGTAGGCAATGTTCTAGGCTCTGGTGAGTTAGACTCAAATGCCTACCATGATGTGCTTTACATGTCCATCTTTGACTAAAATGTTTATATAGACTGTTAAGTGTAGAGCCCTGGAGCACATGATCAAGACTGTTTTGAAGCATTATTTGACATTTACAACTGTAAATCCACCAAACTTCATTCTTTTCTAGTCTTCATTTTTCTATCTTGTCCACAATATATTAAGGAATTTTCTGACATTTCATGCTAAAATAAAATTGTGTTTAGTATTTGTCTTACTTTTTTGTGCAGTAACCATTTCCCAAAAGGATGCTAGGTTATTCTGGAGTGATCTTGTCTTATTCCTTGGGAACCCATACTGGCACCCAATAATTGCCCACATGTTTAAGGACAATTAAAAAAATACATTCTTTTGGAGAATTATGGGTGTTTTAGTGGCATGTATAGTGTGGTAACATAGCTATAAAAGAGTGAACTTACTCCCCTAAGTCTTATACAGTGAAACCAGGGTTATCTCGATTTAAAAAATATATATTCTAGAATTTTTCAGGAATCATTCATTGATAAGCTCACTGTTCTGTAACTTTCAAGATATACCTTTCGCCCTCCTTTTTTTTTTAAATACCAACCATCTTTGTCTGCCGCAGTTTCCTGGCAGCTCATTCTACTTTCCTGGTGTATCAGATTAGATGTGATCTGCCTCTGCTTTGTGTACTCTGTTTGCTGACTCTGGACCTAGAGAGTGATAATCCCTTAGAGTTAGCTAAGGACTGCCTTAGCTCAGGGCTTTCCTCTCCTTCCCAAACCTTTAGCTCCTCCTTAACCATCGTTTTCTTAAAAAAAAAAAAAAGATTTATTTTATTTATTTATGCACACAAGAGCTGGCGTATATGCCAGAGGTGTGGTGGGGAAGTGTGGAGAGGATTCACCAGCCTCAGAGTGGGGAGCAAAACAGGCAGATCCACTGTAATACACTGCTGAGGGGAGCAGCTGGTGAGACAGGAGAGGGTTAGCTCTGTGCCATGTGGGTTAAACTCTCCCTGGGTGGGGATTGAACTTGTGCTGCAGTGGCTGCGGAAAGCTTCATAGTTCTGAGACTTAACCCCTTGTGCCACCAGGGAGGCTTTTCATAGTTTTCTTTCCTTTTTCCATTTAAAGAGTCTTTCTTTCATGCATTCAACCAGTATTTGTTGATTGCCTAGTCTGCAAAGCACTATACCCAGTTATTGGTCATTCTCACAGAGAACCCAGCTCTACGGTTCTTTTTATTTGGGTCAGATAACTTTTTTACAGGAAGTTACCTGACATGAGGGGATGTGGGGGGGAGGGGGATAAACCCCTTGACAGAATGTGTCCAGGTAAATTCATAGAAAAGTCACAAGCTCAGGAAAGTTAGACAACCTTCACTGTTGGAGCAGAGTCGGTGCCAAAGTCTATCAAGTTCACTACCTGTCTAATAAATTTTCTGTGGGCCTCAGCCTGTGCTCAGTACAGAAGAGAGGTGGTGAGTTGTATTTTATGACCTTGACAAGACCTCCTTAAATCCTGGTAATTTATCCCTTGTCCACCTTATCAGTATTATTGTGAAGATCAAGAGATAAAATATGTCATGTGTGAATGGTCAAGTGTTCTACAGTTGTAATAGCTTATTAGTTTCATTTATTTATAGTTCAGCATGCATTTACTGAGTGTCTGGATCTCTGCCAGATTCTGGGAATATAAAAATGAATATACATGGTCAAGCCCCTCAACAAGTGCTCCCAGTCAAGTAAAAAAACCTATGAACGGGCCTCCTTGGTGCCTCAAGGGGTTAAAATGCAACCTATGAAACTGACCACGGCCACTGCAGCATGAGTTCTACACCCGGCCTGGGAGCTACCCACATGGTGCAGCAGACCTCTCCTAACTGGCCCACTGCTCCCCTCAGCAGTGTATTTCAGTCAGTCTACCTGTTCTGCTCCCCACTCTGTCTCTGGTTAATCCTCTCACCCCCCACACCTCTTGTATGCATAAATAAATAAATCTTTAAAAAAAAAAAAAAAAACTATGAACAGGCACCACAGTGCAAAGGGATAAATGCAAAGGCAGATATGCAGAAGATACAGGCAACACTGGTATATAGTTAGTGATGAGTGCACCTGAGGGCAGGCTGCTGTTGGGGAAGTGTCAAAGGCTAAGTGATTTAGAATCGGACCTTAAGATGGTTCTGAGTTGCCAGGCAGATTTATAGGGATGGCCCTTCCAGCAGAAGACCAACACACAGAGAGACAGGGGACGGCAGGTGATAGCAGTTAGAATCATCTGCCAAAGTTTTGAGGAGAATAACAAGAAGTAAGACCAGAGAGGGAAGCAGGGTTCCATTGGGAAGGACCTTGCAGTGCAATTCTAGGTGCTCATACCAGTTTCTCAGAGCAATTAAGCGGGGACTGTTCAGTTTCCCTTTGCATTTTTTTGTCTTTTTTTAAATTAATTTTTTTACTTCTATCTTTTACATTATTGAATATTCTCCATAAAATTCCCACCACCAATTCACCTGTGAACCATCACCATAGTACATTTGCATTTTAGATGAACCATTGTGATGCGGTGGGGGATTTATTGGAGGGGAGGGATTAGCCTTGGTTCTTGACCTTTGGAGGATAAACTGCATGAGAGAAAAGCTCTACTCCACTACCCCAAAATGTACTTAAAATTTCCGGGGTTTCCATCTTTGGGAAATGGAAAATATTAAATGTTAGAAAAATATTCAGAGGAGATTGAGTACTTGGTGGAATGTAGGGCTTGGTAGAAAGGGAAGTAAGTGCCCTGGGTGCCCTTGAATTTGGTTGTGTGTGGGTCTGGAGTTCAGAAGAGAATTCTGGCAGGAGATAGGGCTTTAGGAGTCACCAGGATTTGTTTGGCAGTTCAAACAGTAGTTGTGCCGGCTTAAGGAATTAAGCTTGGCACAATGGATGAGCCTGCCCAAGGAAAGGAATTAATGTGAGAGGGCATGAAGACAAGTTCCTCATCAGAGTACCAACATTTAAAATCTAAATAGGAAAGCAAATCCAGGCAAGATAACCAAAGTATCAGATTTGCTGCTTGGTTATTTCTGAGAGGCTCTGTATCTGTTCTACCTGCTCAGAAAGGCACATCTAACAGAAGGAAGAAATATCTGGGCTCTTCTGGCTGAGTCTTTTTCATCAGTTACCCATTCCCAGTGATACCCTTCTGTTTTAAGGAGCAGTGTGGCCATTGCTTCTTAACAAGAAGCCTGCTCAGCTGGCTACATTATGGTGTCTTCCACTCTTTCAAGGTTGGTGTATTCTGGGAACGGCTGGCCTGCTGGTGCAGGTGACATAGACATGCTTGGTGTTGAAACCTTGTAGGCCTGACTGTTCTGTCCATTCTCTACAACTCTGAGAGTGGTATCTTCAGTTGCACAATAGTGTCCAGGAGAAAAGTCAGGCTTCAGTGCCAGGAGGTCATGATTGAACTTACTAGTGATCTTAAACCAGTGCTGTAAAATCTTTGAATGTCAGTTTCTCATCTGTAACATGGTAATAATAAGATAATCTAGTCATGTATTGTATGTAAGCACAGTGACATCTGATGAAGAATTTTTTTATGGAGCTGGATTTTGACCCAGAGTAAAGCAGTAAACCTGAGCAGCTCACCACTCAAGGGGCAGTGGCAGAAGCTAGATGTCTGCCCTTCAAGGTTGGATTGGGTAAAAGGTTAGCAGCTCCAAAGTCTCTATTAGCCATGTGATTTCCAAGATTCTAAAAACTCTAGTCTCACCATCAGAGCAAGTAATGTACTTAGGAGAAATGGGGGTCGGGCTGGGCTTTGGAAAGTGAAAAGGAGAAGAGAAAAATATTCTAAGCAGGGAACTTAGCTTGAGCAAAGGCACACAGAGGGCAACAGGAATATCATGGCCACTCCTCTACCAACTCATTCCCTCATTTGGCCACATTCCATTCCGTGCCTTGGGCCCCATCCATGCTTGCTGCAGGAGCGTTCCACTTGTGGCTGGCTGATGGGTGATGGTCCCCAATCCTCAGGTGGAGAAGGCAGTAAATTAGTGGTAACGGTAAACAAGTTCGCCCAGCCTGGGATGCCGCTGGCTGCTTGTAAGTAACTGTTATAAACCTTGGGTGTCTGGGGCTGTCAGAAATGCAAGCGAGCACTCTGAACGCCTCTCATATGTACAATTAAAACAATAAAACACGGCAGAAACGTAGCCAGAGCAGACTATAAATCAGCTTCTCTTCTCAGCTCCAAGTGGCAGCCGAATAAAGATAAGTTGTACAGAAGCTGGATTGGCATAGGGCCCTCTTGGGGATAGAGGGTCTGGCTTGCCAGGCTGAACCTGCCACAGTCAACTCCACCAGCTTGGGTGGCCCCCTTCCCACAGCTCCAGAGGCTGCAATTCCTGGCCCGCTCCAGCTGACCTCCCCATCTCTGTGTCTTCAGATGGGGGACAGGACGGTGAAAGCTGGAGCATCACAAATCAGTGGACAAGTACCCTGGAGTTCAGGACATGTCTAGGATTTCCCACTGGTGGTAATGGAACTGCTCTCTATTTATTTCTTCCCCTCCCCAGGACATGCCAAGGAGTAGTCTTGTCCTACCTTGTCTGTTACCCATCCAGCACCCAGCCCTATCCAAGCATAACAGAGATAATGTATGCTCTAGCAGAGCACAGACTCACCTGAGTTATAAGATTCACAGGGATGTAAGAATCACCCAGAGAGCTTATTAAAACACAGATTCCCATGTGCCACTCCCCCACCCCCACCCGCCCTGAGATTCTATATCAGTGTGTCTGGGGTAGGACCTGAGATTTTCCATTTTAGGTCCTCACTCTTTGAGTAGCGTGATCTAGACTAGAGGCTTTAGTTGTGCCTGCCCTGCTTAAAAAAAACTGAACCTTTTCCTTCCTAAAAGGACCTTATTTTGCCACTTTAAGCTTCACTCCTTGTGTGTTTAAGTCATGGTACTATGAGAGTACAGAACCCTTAATGCCTAGGGCAATTTTCTGTGTATCTCAGAGGCTCTGTCTAAGGTTATAGGGAGAGTTAGTGTTCTTTCCTAGCTAAACCCTTGAACGTAGGAGGTATCCCATTAATGTAAATTTCTGGTTTTACATCCTCATCATCCTCATCACACTATTATGGATTTTCATTCAGTCTTTTTTTTTTTTTTTTTTTTTTTAAAGATTTATTTATTTATATAAGCACTGGGTACAGTCAGAAGCGCGGGAGGGTGAGAGAATTCACCAGAGCCAGAGCGGGGAGCAGAGCAGGCAGAAGGACCGAAGTACACTGCTGAGGGGAGCAGCGGGTGGCAGGAGAGGTCTATACACCATATGGGACCCTCCTCCGGTGGCCAGGGAGCAGCCGGGGATCGAACCAGCGCTGCAGAGGCTGGGGGCAGCTTCACAACCCAGCGCTCAACCTCTGCGCCACCGGGGAGGCCCTTCATTCAGTCCTTGACACAATCTTCCAAATGCTTTTCAGTGGTAGCACACTGGTATCTACAAAGAGCCAAAAATTATTTAGAATCTGAGGAAGGGGTTGGCCTTTATCTAACTGGGTAATCTCAGGCAATTCTCATTATCTCACTGAGGCTGCACTTTTTTTCCATCTGTAGGAAATATTATTTCCTTTATCAGGGGCCTATGATAAATATCGAATTGAAGTACTTAAATTGAAGAAAATACAAGTTGTTGTGCAAATACAAGGTACTAGGAACAACAATAATTAATAATATAAAGACTAAAGACATGCCAGGTCAATATTTGATGAGGGTCCGGTCAGAGGTACTGATGACAAGGGTGATCGTAGTTCAGAGAAGCAGCTCTCTGACTGAAGCAGTCAAGGAAATAAATGGTATTTGCACCTTGAAATATGCAAAGGCTTTATGGAAGGCCAGTAAATGTGTGTGCTTGGGTGTGAGCAGAGAAATGGATGTGCTATGTCCAAAACACTCGGAGGTGGGAAAGAGAAAATATAAATTTCAGGCTGACAAGTGAACTTGTTAGGTTGAAGCATCCCACACAACAGATTCATTTCAGAGAGTAACGAGCGATAAAGATGCAGCGTTAGTAGACAGTGGCCCAATCAAGACACTTGGACTTTATCCTTTAGACAGAGGAACCTTGCAGGTCCTAGAGGAGAAGGCTCTGTGGGAACTGTGCCTCTTCCAGATGAAGAGGCCAGGGAGGCAATCATGAGGATGATGATAAGCTGCAGCAAGTAACATGTATTGATACCATGTGCTCATGGCAGCTCCATGCTCTAGACTCTGAAGGAAACTGAGGCAGAGAGATGATGCCAAATGCCAGCAGAAGTGTCTCCAACTTTTATAGAGAGCCCAACAAATATGTCAGCCTATGTGTACCCAAAACTTAGCTCAGAACCTCTGTTTTGTCCACAGTCTTGGAAGGCTTGGCAATCTGCCACACCAAAAGCTCTTTGGGCAAGTTATTAATTTTTAATAGCATCCCTGTCTCTTCCTCACCTTGTCAGAGCCTTGTCAAATCTCCAGGGTCAGTGGTTCTACGTGTCATTTCTCAGCAGTGCCAGCCACTCTAGTCACCAAGATGGGCAGTGTACTGTCAATCCATCAGGCCTTTTAGTCAACTTCAAGATTAAGTGTATCAGGCAGTTAGGTTAATTGTTTCTATCCTCTTATGCCTGCAAACTTATCTCGCTATATATATGTTTGACTAGGGGAAGGAGATAGACTAGTTGACATGTTTTATTAAAAAGAATAAATTCGATGCATTTATGAAAATAAGAAAAAGTGGGATGGAGTGGCAAAGACCTAGTCTTGTGATTTTTAACTGATTTACATATTTTGTGTATAAATATTTTTTCATCAAAAGTTCCAAGTCAGGGATGGGTCCCACACACCATACAAAATATATTAGAGACATTTATATGGATAGCAGGAAGGGAGACAGAGGGCTGAAATTTTCCAGGCACCCAGTGATTGATGGGGGCTGAGGCTCCCCCTGACGCTTTATTGAGTTTCCGATGATTATCTCTCGCTGAGACATTTTTTACAGATGACGGTCGAGCTGTCACAATGGACCATGGGGGAAAAAAAACCAACAATAATAACACTTTAATCTTTTTACTGCACTGCTCCCTAGTATCTCAGATTCATCTTCCCTGACGCACGCAGTTCATTATTCTGCCCCTCCCTGGATTGGAAATAAAGGAAAATAAATATATATGTAGACACACTTACCCACATACATACACACACACAGAGTGTATGAAAGAGACCACCTCAGAACCAGAGCGGGGCAGAATTTATTGTTCTTTTTGCAAGTGTTGAGGTTTATTAGTAGTGATACTGGGTTGGCTTGGAATTGGCTATTAATTACAGCATTTTGTATTTGTTTTTTATTGTGAGTTTTTAACATCTTGAAGAAAAGGCAGAGGAGAGCAAGCAGGTAGAGAGATGGGGGAGCACAGAGGGACCAAGTTTGGCCAGCCAGGTGGCAGTGTGGCTGAGAGGCAAGGAAGGTGGCCCCTTCCTCTTGTTGCCAGACCTGCCAGAGGATCCCAGGTGCTTAAAGAATACTGCTTTGGGCCTTCCCTGGTGGCGCAAGGGGTTGAGACACAACGTATGAAGCTATCCGCAGCCTCTGTAGCACGAGTTCTATCCCCAGCCGGCCAGGGAGCAACCCACATGGCGCAGCAGACCTCTCCTGACTCACCCGCTATTCCCCTCAGCAGTGTACTTTGGTCATTCTGCCTGTTCTGTTCCCCACTCTGTCTCTGGTGAGTCCTCTCATGCCTCTGGCCTGTACCCCAGCTCTTGTATGCATAAATAAATAAATCTTTAAAAAAAAAAAAAAGAATACTGCTTTGGCTGGGATGGGAGGAGCAGAGAAAAAGGGGTGGGTATGGGGGGAGCAGAGTAATATACGGGATGAATCAAAGGGAATTTAAATGCCTATGAGCATATTACTACTCTGAGAGTTAGAGCTGATGGGAAGTATAGGAAATGCAAATGGAGTGTTGATGGGTCTGTAGGTTATGGTAACAGATTCTTAAAAGTTTGCCCCATTCTTTGAATGTGATGGTGTGGAGGTGAGACACGGACTATGGCAGTTTCCACCTGGGCATGTGCTCAAAGGAGGGGTTCTGAGCCAGAAAGGATGCCACACTGCCTGCCTAGGGCCACAGGCAGGGTTGACAACCTGTCTTCTTAAAGTTTCAGGCAAAATGTCTGGCTTTCCTCCTTCCCTTTCACAATGCTAAGAGAAGGTGGTTTGAGGGTTCTTATGGAAAGGCTTCCAATGATGTGTCTCTCATGGAGTAAATGCTGACCCAGTCCTCTCTAAAACGCCTAGAGTGTGTAAGTTCCCTGCTATGGTAATGTAAGGTAATCATGAGGGGACCAGGCTCCTGTTCTTAAGGAGAAACCTTCCAGTTCATGAGCAGAGTTCATGGTATCTGTGAGAACCTCCAGCCATAGGCCAGGCAGAGGGTCACAAGTACCAGATTTTTATGAAGCATAGAGATTACACAAACACAGTGACTGTCCTCAGGAACTGTTTCCTGCTTGGGAAGACAAACCTAACATCTGTTCACTAAAGAAGTATTTACTGAGCACCTGCCATGTTCAAGAGTATGCACATGAAGCCGTCTGAAAGCGCAAGAGACTGTGAAGAAAATACTAACTCAGTTGGAGTCTAGACGTTACTAGAACACACAGAGGAGAGGGAGATCAGTGAAAAGCAGGCTGCTTGAGTTATTAAGGATGGGTAAAATGTAGATAAATAAAAAGGAGTGGTGAAATCGTTTAATAGTGAAGCCACATAAGGAAAAGAGCATACAAGCCTTGGAGGTAAACAAACCAGCTTGGTCATGGACTATGAATATGACCTGAAATAAGTTATATAACCTCTCTGTATCCCAGCTTCTTCATTTATAAAAATTACTACTACTAATGATAATGATGACTATGATATTGATAATGATAATAATAGCCTACTATGGTTCTTTTTTTTTTTTTTTTTAAATAGAGGCATGTTTTATTTATTTATTTATTTGTTTGTTTGTTTATACATGCACTGGGTACAGTCAGAAGCGCGGGAGGGTGAGAGAATTCACCAGAGCCAGAGCGGGGAGCAGAGCAGGCAGAAGGACCGAAGTACACTGCTGAGGGGAGCAGCGGGCGGCAGGAGAGGTCTGCGCGCCATGTGGGACCCTCCTCTGGTGGCCGGGGAGCAGCCGGGGATCGAACCTGCGCCGCAGAGGCCGCGGGCAGCTTCGCAACCCAGCGCTCAACTGCTGCGCCACCGGGGAGGCCCGGTTCTTATGAGGAAAGGATTTGGAAAGTTCCCAGTACAGGGTAAGTGCTCAATAAATGGAGGTCACTGTTTTCCTATTACTTCAAGAGTTATATACTTAGTTATCTTGAATGTTGGAGAAAGAGTCCTGCAACATTAGCCTCCAGGACTCATCTGTGACTTTCCACTGGGTATGTAATAAATGCCTTGCAATGAACCTACATGCTCTGCTGTGTTTGTGGTAGAGGCC